CAATTCACCCATCCCTCCACCTGTCTTTCACTCTATCTGTGAATATATCCATGTATGTGTATATATCATTCTCTTTATTTATCTACAATATATATATTTATATAATTCCCCTCCCCTCTCCTCCCCCCTCATCTGCTCTTCTCTGTTCCCCTCTCCTCTCCTCTCCTCCTCTCCATTACCCTCCCCTCCTCTCCCCTTCCCTCTCTTCCTCTCTTCTCTTCTCCCCTCCCTCCTACCCTCCTTTACCCTCCTTTCCCTATCTCTCCCTCCCTCCCTCTCTCTCTTTCTTTCACCCCCTCCCCTCGCTATCTTCTCTCTCTCACCCATTCATTACACCCCTCTCCCCTCTCCTCTCTCCTCTCCTCTCCCCTCTCCTCTCATCTCTGTCCTCTCCCCTCTCCTCTCATCTCCTCCCCTCTCCTCTCATGTCTCCTCTCTCCCCTCTCCTCTCATCTCCTGTCCTCTCCCCTCTCCTCTCATCTCTCCCCTCTCCTCTCATGTCTCCTCCTCTCCTCTCTCCTCTCATCTCCTCCCCTCTCCCCTCTCCTCTCATCTTCCCTCTCCCCTCTCCTCTCATCCTTTCCCCTCTCCTCTCTCCTCTCATCTCCTCTCCTCTCCCCTCTCCTCTCATGTCTCCTCTCCCCTCTCCTCTCATCTTCCCTCCTCTCCTCTCCCCTCTCATCCTCTCCCTTTTCCCCTCTCCCTCTCATCCTCTCCCCTCTCCTCTCATCTTCCCTCCATTCCCCTTATCGCCTGTGTTTATTCGCCTTTCTTTCGCCCCCTACAGTGCCGCATCAGCTACGTCGACCCGCTGCAAGGAACCAAGGAGAGACGAGATGAACTGTACAAATTCTGGTTCTTTTGGTGCGACTGCAAACCCTGCCATGACGAGGAGAGGCTGGCGATGGAGAATACGATTAAATGCGGTAAGAAGGAGAAGGAGAGGGAGAGAGAGAGAATGAGAGGAGAGAGAGAGAGAGAGAGAGAGAGAGAGAGAGAGAGAGAGAGAGAGAGAGAGAGAGAGAGAGAGAGAGCGAGAGGGAGAGAGAGAGAGAGAGAATGAGGGGAGAGAGGTGGGAGGAGGAGAGAGAAGGGGAAGGAAGGGAGAGAGGGAGAAGAAGGAAAAGTAAGGGAGACAATGAGGGAAGGAGGGAGAGTAAAAGGGGAAAAGAGAAAGGAAGAGTGGGGTAAGGGAGGGAGAGAGAGAGAGAGAGAGAGAGAGAGAGAGAGAGAGAGAGGGAGAGAGAGAGAGAGAGAGAGAGAGAGAGAGAAAGATACTGTTCATATAAAATACAATTATAGCACAAGATCAATAGTTTTTTTTTTCATATTTTGCAACTGTAATATCAGATAATTTAGATTTAATAATTCTAAATTTTACATGAATTACAAATGCTTTTATTAGTTATTCATGAAAAATACTAAGGCAACATATCAGTTAACTGTCAAGTAAAGAATAAAAACGGGTGTTTTTGTCGGAAATTAAATCAGTAACATAATTAATCCTGTTGCTTTATGTAGAAAAACGACTGAAGATAAAATCCCTGATAAAAAAAATACATTTATGTAAAACCTTTACTGTATATAAAACACCATAACATAAATGCTAACAGAAAACGCAAAAATAAATAATTTTTCCCCAAACAGAAAATATGAATAACACCTTTACCAACAAAAGACGAAAACAAAATAACCTTCACAGTCCCTAACAGAAAACGGGAACATTTACATTCACGGTCCCTAACAGAAAATGGAAACATTTACATTCACGGTCCCTAACAGAAAACGGAAACATTTACATTCACAGTCCCTAACAGAAAACGGACACGTTTACATTCACGGTCCCTAACAGAAAACGGAAATATTTACATTCACGGTCACTAACAGAAGAGAAAGAATAACACTCACCTTCCCCAATACAAAACGAAGTAAACACTCACTGTTACCAACGTACATTCTCTTTAAAAAACGGTAACACCCATCCCTCAAAGAAAACGAGAATAACCCTCCCCATCCCTCAAAAGAAAACGGGAATAACCATTCCCATCCATCAAAAGAAAATGGGAATAACTCCCACCATCCCCCAAAAGAAAGCGAGAATAATCCACCCCATCTCTCCAAAGAAAACGGGAATAACCTTCCCCATCCCTCAAAAGAAAACGGGAACAACCCTCCCCCTTCCCCACCGTCCCACCATAGAAAATGACCACAAAGAAAACGGGAATAACCCTCTCCATCCCTCAAAAGAAAACGGGAATAACTCTCCCCATCCATCAAAAGAAAACGGGATAACACCCACCATCCCCCTAAAGAAAACGGGAATAACCCTCTCCATCCCTCAAAAGAAAACGGGAATAACTCTCCCCATCCATGAAAAGAAAACGGGAATAACTCTCCCCATCCATCAAAAGAAAACGGGATAACACCCACCATCCCCCTAAAGAAAACGGGAATAACTCTCCCCATCCATCAAAAGAAAACGGGATAACACCCACCATCC